CCAATAACTGACCCAGAGTTTATCATCCAGTCATCTAAATTAGATCTAGATTTAAATGAGGCTTTTTGAGTTTGGCTCTTTGGTGTACTTCCTCTTACTTATTCCTATACACCAAACACACAAGAGTGAGATAGTAACCAAACCACAACCAAATTTACTGCCATCTAGTCAATTCTGACTCATAGTTGCCCCTATAGGACAGGATAGAACTGGCCCTATGCATTTCTAAGACTGTACTTTGTTATGGGAGTAGAAAGACTCATCTTTCTGAGGAGAGAATGGTAGTTTAGAACGGCTGACCTTGTGGTTAAGCAGCCCGACATATAACCCAGTATACCATAATCATAATCAACTCTTGCATTTAAAATGAAAATAATAGGCTGGGATTCCTGGTGTTGCTGGAGATTTGTGGCCTGTCTGTAGTCTCTGAGCTTTGCCAATTGGAAAAACCACATTTGAGTGTATTTCCATCCATGTGGGCCAGGTTGGGGTATACATGAGCAATGCCTGCTGGGAGCACTACTGCCTGGAGCACAATATCGAGCCAAATAGCACCATGGCTAGCAACAAGACCCTGGGAAGTGGTGATGATGATTCGTTCAACACCTTCGGTGAGATGGGGCTGGTAGACAGGTGCCCTACCTGGGCTGGTAGACCTGTAGACCTGGAGTCTGCTGTCATAGATAGGGTAATAACTGGCATTTATGAGCAGCCTTTCCACCCTGAGCAGCTGAGGAATTAAAAGTAAGACACTGCTAACAACTATGCCTGTGGCCACTACACTTTGGGGACGGAGATCATTGCTTGGCACTGGAGCGAATCTGAAAACTGACAGACCAGTGTTCCAGGCTTCAGGGCTTCCTGATCTTCCCTAGCTTTCGGGGGCGGGACTGGCTTGGGCTTCACCTCCCTGCTGATGGAGCAGCAGAAATTTCTGTTGACTATGCCAAGTAGTCCAAGTTGGAGTCTGCTATCTATCCTGCCCACCAAGTGTCCCTGGTAGTTGTGGATCCCTATAACACCATCTTGACCACCTTCTCCACTCTGGAGTACTTGGCCTGTGTCTTCATGGTGAACAATGAGGTCATCTATGACATATGCCGCCGGAACCAGGACATTGAGCACCTGACCTACACCAACCTCAACCAGCTCATTGGCCAGATTGTCATCCATCACTGCCTCTGCGCTTTCACGGCACCCTCTCCATGGACTTCATGGAGTTCCAGAGCAATCTGGTGTCCTATCCACGTATCCACTTTCCCCTCGTTACCTACTCACCCATTGTCTCAGCTGAGGAGGCCTACCATGAGCAGCTCTCAGTGACTGAGATCTCCAGTGCCTGCTTTGAACCCGCCAACCAGATATACATAGCCTTCTCTACAGTGGAGACATGGTACCCAAGGATGTGAATCCTGCCATTGCCGCCATCAAGACAGCACACTATCCAGTTTGTGGACCAGTGCCCACAGGTTTCCAGGTCAGCATCAACTACAAGCCTTTGACAGTGGTGCCTGGCGGACCTGGCCCAGGTGCAGCAGGCCACCTGCATGCTAAGCAGTACCACAGCCATCGCTGAGGAGTGGACCTGCCTCGACCACAAGTTTAACTTGATGTATGCCAAATGAACATTTGTGCACTGGTATGTTGGTGAGGACATAGAGGAAGGAGAGTTCTCCAAGGCCCAAGCGGACATGGTTGCCCTTGAGAAGGATTATGAAGAAGTGACCACAGAGTCTGTGGACGGCGAGAATAAGAGTGAGGAGTTCTAAAGGCTCCTGGCACCCACAGCACCCTGGTCTGTCTCTCCCCAAGAATGAATCTGTCAGAATGAATCTGTCATCCCACGGTGCCCCCACCCTCACTCCAGAAATAACAGTCAATGTATCAAGCAAACAAACAAACAAACAAAAGAATAGGAATCATGCAGTGCTCACTGGTCCATAGCATTTCTGAAACTCCACCTGATATATGTTGCCAGGCTACTTGCTCAGGGACCAGAGGGTGTTCTTTGAGAAGAACCACTTCAACTTTCTAGGAGTAGCTCCATATAATTATTATCGGAGACTTTTTCTTCACCTTTTGGGATCTTAGCTCTGACTTCTGATAAATTGTTCCTCTTTTCTGTAAGATATTCCCCATTTTTGCAACTTAGTAGCATTCTGATTTGCTTCTTGCCTGTGGTCATTGTGGACCCAGAGAAGCACTGGATTGTCTCTCTCTTAATTACTCATTTCAAGTTTTTAAACATTTTAATATCATATTATACCCATTCTGTCCAGGGCTTCTTAAACTTTTTCCACTTATGACCCCTTTTTTTCCTGAGAAATATGCTATAGGAGCAAGTACTGCCAGAAACACCTCAGATTCATTATTCATTTGCTTCTGAGTTAATTCTTGGTCATGTGTTTTTAGAAACCTTTTACTGTTGCCAAATGTTTCTCAGCCTCCACATTCAGTTATGCAACCTCCTATGGGATCATGGCCCACAGTTTAAGAAGCTTTGCAGAAGTTACCTACCCAAGTTGTTCTCGGAGTGGCTGAAAAACAGAGATTGAGTGAGAGTGAATGGAATAGTTTAATGTGGTTGGTCAAGCAGGGACTAGAGTTGCCAGGGAAAGCTTGTCAAAAAAGAGAATTTGCAATTTTATACCAGCAAATAACATTGAGGGAATTATGAATATGTAACAAAGCCCAAGGAATGGTTATAAATATGGATTAGGGTGGGGTTATGATTCTTTACCAGGAAATAGCTTAATGGATCTTTGGCTTTCAAATGTCTGATTTAGTCTGGTGACATCTTCTGGTTCCTTCAACAAAGTTCTTTCATTCCAGGGTGATTGGAAGGTTGTGATTGTACTTTGTGCAGGTTGGACAATTTGTTCATCCGGTGGACCAGATTTGGCTATAACGGATACTTGCTTTGGGAAGAAATGGAAGGCCCCTAAAGAGAGGCAGGTTACCAGGAAGGAAAGTATAAATTAAGTATGGGAAATGTATGAGGTATGTTTATATTTCAACATCTTTTGACAATACCTCTTACAGACTACTGGTAGGTTTATTGGACAAGCTATGGAATTTAGAGTGTTACACAGGACTAAGCAGGTTGGGGAGTGATCTCATAATTTTTAGACCTTACCTACAATTCTTTCTAAAGTAATCCATCTCTGTACATGTAGCAAGCATGTCAAAGAGCTCTGAGAACCATTTATCTCGCCATAGAGTCTGTTAGGCTTCACCTTAATATATTCAGAGGTTTTCAAAAAGTTGTTAAACCCACACTCTTAATTTGATCTTTGTCCTCCAGGGACAAAGATTTACTTAGGGAATATTTTACCAGCAAATCCTAGGTCACCTATATTTCCTTTACATTTTGTTCACAAACTGAGGATCAGTTTTAAAATAATTTATAATACAAGTTTGAGGGATGAGTTTATAAACTCAGTGTTCTAAGTCGAACTCTTACTAGTAATATTCACAAGTTCCTTAGGTACGTTTTTTTCCTAAAGCAAAACACTAAAGGTGTAACGTTTTGTCAGTTTCACTGTTACATGTCATGAGTTGCCTTATTAAAAGCAGTTTAAATCTTTAATTTATTTTAACAGTATTTTCTAAGCTTCCACTGTGTAGGTTTTACACATACTTTGTTAAATATATTTCTGAGCTTCATACTTTAGGGTATGCTATTGTAAAATGAAAATTGCATATTTTATTTCATTTTTCAAACATTCACTGCTAGTATATATAAAGGGAAGGGCTCTGGTGGCACAGTGTTACTTGAATATTTTGTTTGGAAAGGGAATCAAATCTTAGAAGAAAATTGTTATCTTTCTAATCCCTACATTAGTATTTCAAAAGTTAACATTTCTTTGGGTGATTAATTTTGCTTACAAAATATGAATTGAGTTTTTCTAATTAGCCCCACCAAGAGATCTTATTTCCATTTCTCCCCTCTCAGAATAGTCTGTAATGTTTTGAATGTTTAGTAATTATTATTTTTAGTTGGTGTTTGATTACCAAAAATCAATACCACAGCCATCAAGTCGATTCTGACTCATAGTAACTCTACATAGGACTTTCCAGGCTGGGAACAAAGAGCCTCATCTTTCTACCGAGGAACAACTGATGGGCTTGGACTGCTGCCCTTGCAGTTAGCTGTCCACCACTTACCTGACAGCACCACCAGGCTCCTAGTACATGAGTACTACAGTTAGTACTAAACAATAAGTCTGTAGGTTAATTCTGAATCAGTAGAGAAGCATTTTATTTCTAGTTCTACCCCTATTATACAGATGAGGAAATTGAGGCTCAGAAAGATTAAGTGATTCGTTGATAGTTCTTTCTTCTTTTTTCTCCATGGTATTCCCCCCCCCTAGTTTTATTGGCATATAATTCACATATCATGCAATTCAATAATTTGGTCACATCATGAAGAGTTGTAAAATCATGACCACAATCAGTTTCCCAACATTTTCTTCATTCTTATACTCTCTTCTCCCCAAATCTGCCCTGCTATGCCCCCAAGTAACCAGATTCCATAGATTTTCCTATACTGGATTTCATATACAAAAGAACATAAAAAAACCAAACAAACAAACTAGCAACAATAACAAAGTAAAACAGATAAAAACCTCAATCAGAAAGAAAGCAAAAAGTATTAAAAACTAGAGCAAATTTAAATGGGTCATAATGAAGATCAAATGATAAGGTGCTAAATTTTAACCTAACAGCAGCATCCGCAGCAATGCACTTGTAATTCATTTTGCATTTAGCACGGTTATTCATATCCCTGGTCCATAGACCAGGCTTAACCACATGTATTTCCTTTCACTGTTTAATTTTAAACTGAAACAGCTTTAAAATGGTCAAAAGGGAGATCAAATGATAACATATTACATTTTGACCTGACTATGTCTGCCATGATCGAACTTCCTTCAACTATGACCAGAGGAGCTTCATCACAGGCTAAGTCTGCTTATCGGTATTTCTATTTTGTTTAATAGGAGTTACTTAAGGATCCGTTGTACATTGGACTACGGCAGAGGAGAGTGAGAGGTCGTGAATATGATGATTTTTTGGATGAATTCATGGAGGCTGTTTCTTCCAAGTATGTATAATTTTTTATTTTATCTATATTTGAATTAAATTTCAACATGTAAAGATAACATAATGAACTATACAAAATTATCAAGTTATATGCAGTTTAGTTTAATAATTAGAAAGATATACCTGTTACTGGCTAAATGATAACATAGTATTTCTTCCCGAAAAGGTTTCTCTTCTGGTATCCTTGTAGATACTATTCTCACAAAAATGTTTCAACCTGTGATTATTGAAGTGCATAATTGTGATGAATGAAGCAGTTAACAAAATTACCCGAGTAAGCGGTTTCATTCTTCTTGGTAGTCTGTATTTTGTTGTTTCTAGAAACTGGTGAAATCTGATCTTTATTTTCATTGTGGCTGTTTCTGACCCTTTTGTGATAGAAGAAGCAGAAGAGGAGGTGGGGACTGAGCATGAGTTAGTACAATTCAGAAAGGTCCAGAAGCAAGAACCAGAATGATTTCCAGTTAAATCTACAGCATTTCGTTAAGCGCAGGCTGTGTTTTCACTAATCCTAATTACTGTTTATGTGTGGGCCAAGGATTATTGTATAATCGTCCCTCTCCTTTTCCTTCGTAAAAAAGAGGCTTTCACCAAAAGTTAACATATATTCTGAGAGAATTTGCCACACTTACTAACAGTTCTCCCATTTATTGCTGTATGGCCACAGAAACCATGTATTATTTAAAAACAAATTTATGTTGCCTTGGATTTTCATAGAAATAAATTCATCACTAGAATCAACTGTAACTAAAAACGTACTTTTGGTTTCTTTTTATTATAATGTTTATGCTTCAGAAGTTGAGTCCAATAGCAAAAAAGTGCTTTTCATCAGCTTGGAAATATTGAGAATATATTGAAGCTCTCATTACCCAAGGTTTCAGTACATTTTGTATTTACCAATTAGTATTGACTGTTTTTTTTAAATGGCCAATTTATTTATCCTTATTATTTATTAACTTACTTGATAAGTTATACGTATTAATAGAAATAGTTGAGAAACTGAAGAGCTTAAGTTCAAGTTAATGCGCTACAATTATTTCTAAGGATTTTCCTTATTTAATTTTGAGTGTCTATTGTGTAAAATTCTGTGTAAGGCTTTGAGTTTAGCTGTACCGTTTTAAGTGGCAACATTAATCAAGGCAATGCCTGTGGAAAGGAACACAGATGGTAATGTCAGGTTGGACTGCTAACCTCTAAGATCTGTAGCTCAAACCACCACAGAAGAAAGATGAAGTTATCTGCTCCTGTACAGATTTACAGCCTGGGTATATAAAAGAAAATGAAAACTGCTCCTAAGAGGAGATGTTTCAAGTTGAGGGAAAAATGGAATTGAAAGGTAATGGAATTTTACCATGAACTTTTTGAAGCCCTCTCATATTTGTTTGTACAATTGATATTTATATTAGTCAAATTCAACAAAGAAGCCATTAAATACATTATTAATATAATATGGCCCATATGCTTTTTTTGTTGATGAAATTAAGAAAAGAACAAAACAGCAACAACATCAAGCCACTGACGAAGAACAAATTAAAATATACCAAGAAAGAAAAGCTTGTGTTTTCCTGTCTAGCCTGTTGGGGCACCACGCCCTGTC